CACCAGGTCCGAGCACTTGTCTCATGGATCCAACCTGGGCTGGTGATCTGTTTCACCCTAGATAATATACATGTTTCGATGCTGTTCTCTTGAAACATCCCACCCTCTTGGTATATATACACCATGGAATATTACTCAGCCATTAAAAAGCATTCATTTGAATCAGTTCTAATGAGATGGATGAAACTGGAGCCCATTATACAGAGTGAAGTAAGCCAGAAAGATAAAGACCATTACAGGATTTTCACTTTATTCATTCACATTTTACTCTGAAAAGTAGAGAATTAGAGCAACAAGATAAGTCTAATTTTTTTTTATTTTCAGTCACTGGAAAATGGGAACCTGACTTTCCTTTTCATGCCAGTCATTATTGTGTGTGTGTGTGTGTGTGTGTGTGTGTGTGTGTGTGTGTGTCTGTGTGATGGGCATATGTATGCAAGCATAAGACAGCCATAGCTACTCAAAGCAGCCTGAAAAATGTCATACACCACCGATCTAGTCCTGACAAGAGGAGTCCAGCTTGGAAATCAAAACCTCTCCCTCAGTGCTACCCTCAGCCTTTTGGATCTCCTTAAAAACACCAGTGATACAGGGGGAGGCTCTTATTTCACACAAGCAGCTTCAAGTGTAAGGGACTTTGTCACCTCTGGGGACTAAGCACCCAGTTATAACATTTGTAATGAAGCTGACTTGTTAAATTTGCCCTCAAAGAAAAGAAACCAACCAAAGCGCTAGAAAGTGGAGAAGCAGGGTCCAGTTAAAAGTGAGGCCAGAGGCTGAGGGGCTATGCATCCACTGATAACTACTTAACTATTAGTCCTTTGCTTAAGTGATATTTAAGCATCGAAAAAGTCTCCATTTTGCCTTTCTCAGTAGATACTGCAAAGCTTTTCCTTTTCCTATGTAAACAACAACATATATAAATCATATGTCATGAATCGTGACCAGCAAGCAGATTAAGAGTATTTTTTGAGACAGAATTGGCAAATAAAACTGTAAGATATTTAAAGTATATAACATGAGATTTTGATAGGTGTATATATCATTTTTTAAATTTACATTTAATTGGAGTGCAATTTCTTTACAATGTGTTGGTTTCTGCTGTACAGTGATGTGAATCAGCCATAAGTGTACATATACCCCCTCCCTCGAGTCCCCCACCAGGCACCCCATCCCACTTCCCCAGGTGGTCACACAGCACGGGGTGAGCTTCCTGTGTCACACAGCCACTGCCCACCAGCTGTCTGTTAACATTTTACACATGGTCATGTACTATGGTTCAATGCGACTCTTTCAATTCAACTTGCCCTCTCCTTCCCGCATTTTATCCACAAACCTGTTCTCTGTCTGTGTCTCTCTTTCTGCCCTGTAAACAGGTTAATCAGTGCCATTTTTCTAGATTCCATATAAACATTAATATACAGTATTTGGTTTTCTCTTTCTGACTTAGTTCACTCTCCATAACAGGCTGTAGGATCATCCACCTCAGCTCAAGTGACCCAAATTCGCTTCTCTTTAAGGTTAATTAAAATCCCCTTGTATAGATGTACCACAACCTCTTTATCCATTCCTCTCTCAGTGCACATCTAGATTGCTTCCATGCCCTGGCTATTGTAAACACTGTTGCAATGAATTTTGGGGTACACGTGTCTGTTTGAATTATGGTTTTCTCAGGGTGTGTGCCCAATAGTAGAATTTCTAGGTCATATGGTAGTTTTGTTAGGACTTCCCTGATGGCTCAGCAGCTAAAGAATCTGCTTGCGATGCAGGAGACACAGGAGATGGTTCAACCTCTGGGTTGGGAAGCTTCTCTGGAGGAGGAAATGGCAACCCACTCCAGTACACTTGCCATTTCCACCTACCCTCTGCCATAGTGCTGACCCTCATTTACATATGTGTTAGAAAGAGTTTCCCTTTCTATTAACTTAAGTAACATAGCTATCATCTGACATGTTTCCCTTTTATTTTTTGAAGAGAACACAGGTAAGTTCCACTCTCTTAGACAGCACCAATTTTACAACACAATTTTATCAGTTATCGTCATCATGCTACACATTAGATCTTCAGACCTTATAATTTTCACATGTTAAAATGTATAACCTTTTACAAACCTATCCCTATTTCTCCCATTCTCCAAGCCTTGGCAATCACTTTCCTCCGCTGTTTCTGAGTTCCACGTTTTTTTCTTTTTACATTCTTTACAATTGAGATCATACAGTAACTGTCTTTCTCTAACTTGTTTCACTTAGCATTAAGCACTCCAGTTTCATCCATGCTGCCACAAGTGGAAGCATTTATTTCTTTTTTAATGGCTAAATAAAATTCACACACACACACACACACACACACACACACACACATATATCACATCACATTGTTTAAATCTCTTCACCTGCTGACAGATACTTAGATTGTTCCTATAATAGGTTGTTTCTAGGCTACTGTGAATATTGACGCAATGAATATGTGAGTACAGATTTCTCTTTGAGAAATAATTATTTCAATTCCTTTGAATATATAGTCAGAAATGAATATATATCCAGACGTGGGATTAGTGGCTACATTAACAGTTCTTTGTAAAATTTTGTGAGAAATTTCCAGAAGGTATTCCATGGGAGTTGCACCAGTATACATTCCTACCAATAATCCATTAAGACCTCCATTTTCTACACATCCTCCACCACACTTCTCTCCTACTTTTTGGTAAAAGCCATTTAAACAGGAGTGAGGTGGTATATGTTGTACTTTTGATTTGCACTTCCCTGATAGTGATGTTGAGCATCTTGTCATACACTTCTTGGGCATTCTGTATTTCTTATTTCAGGGGAAAATTGTCTATTCTGTAAAAAACAGCATGCATTTTGTATACAGTATTGAATATATAAAACTTAGTTACCTATCCATACACCAAAACAAATAACAGAAATACAAATAATCCCATTTATAATTGCATCATCAAAAAAAAAATACGAAAAAATAAATTTAAGCAAGGTGTTGAAAGATCTATGTATGAAAACTTTCAAGACACTCATGAAAGAAATGTTTAAAAGACACCAAAGGAGACATATTTCATATTTATTGACTGGAAGGGTTAATATTTTTAATATATCCATACTACCCAAAGCTATCTACATATTCACTGGAGTCTCTTTCAAAATTCCAAGGTATTTTTCACAAAACAGAAAAAAAAAATTCTATAACTTGTATAAAACTCTTGTTGTTGTTCAGTTGCCAGGTTATGTCTGACTCTTTGTGACTCCACAGCCTGCAACACGCCAGACTTCCCTGTTCCTTACCATCTCCTAGAATTTGCCCAAGTTCATGCCCATTGGATTGGTGATGATTTCCACCATCTCACCCTCTGTCAGCCTCTTTTTCTTCTGCCTTTAATCTTTCCCAGCATCAGGGTCTTTTCCAATGAGTCAACTATTCACATTAGGTGGCCAAAGTATTGGAGCTTCAGCTTCAGCATAGTCCTTCCAAAGAGTATTTGGGATTGATTTTTTTTAAGGTTGACTGGTTTGATCTCCTTGCTTTCCAAGAGACTCTCAAGAGTCTTCTATAGCACCACAGTTCGAAAACATCAATTCTTCAGCACTCTGCCTTCTATATTGTCTGTCCAGCTCTTACATGTGTACATGACTACTGGAAAGAGCATAGCCTTGACTATACAGAACTCTGTCAGCAAAGTGATGTTTTTTTTTTAACACACTGTCTAGGTTTGTCATAGCTTTCCTGCCAAGAAGCAATCGTCTTCTAATTTCATGGCTGCAGTCACCATCCACAGTGATTTTAGAGCCCAAGAAGAGGAAATCTGTCACTGCTTCCACCTTTTCCCCTTCTATTTGCCATGTAAATGATGGGACCAGAAGCCATGATCTTAGCTTTTTTGATATTGAGTTTTAAGCCAGCTTTTTCACTCTCCTCTTTCACCATCATCAAGAGGCTCTTAAGTTCCTCTTCACTGTTTGCCATTAGAGTGGTATCATTCACATATCTGAGGTTGTTGATATTTCTCCCAGCAATCTTGATTCCAGCTTTTAGGACTCATCCAGTCCAGCATTTCACATGACATGCTCTGTATATAAGTTAAATCAGCGGGGTGACAATATTCAGCCTTGACGGACTCCTTCAGTAATTTTGAACCAGCTTATTGTTCCTTGTCTGCTTCTAACTTGCTTTTTGAACTGCATACAGATTTCTCAGAAGACATGTAATGTTGGTCTGGTATGCCCATCTCCTTAAGAATTTTCCACTTTGTTGTAATCCACACAGTTTGGTGAGGTCAATGAAGCAGATGCTTTCCTGGAATTCCCTTGCTTTCTCTATGTTCCTCAAATGTTGGCAATTCAATCTCTGGTTCCTCTGCCTTTGCTAAACCTAGCATGAACATCTGGAAGTTCTGGGTTCACAGAATGCTGAAGCCTAGCCTGGAGGAATTGAACTTAACCTTACTAGCATGGGAGATGAATGCAACTGTTCAGTGGCTTGAACATTTTTTAGTACTGCCCTTTTTGGGAATTGGGATGAGGATTGACCTTGTCCTTACCTCTGTCCACTGCTGGCTCTTCTATATTTTCTGACACATTGAGTGGAGCACTTTAATAGCATCATCTTTTAGGATTTTAAATAGGTTTGCTGGAATTCTATCACCTCCTCTAGCTTTATGGGCAGCAGTGTTTCTTAAGACCCACTTGACTTCACATTCCAGAATGTCTGGCTCTGAGTGAGAACATACACCATTGCGATTATCTGGGTCATTAAGATTTTTTGTATAGTTCTTCTGTGTACTTTCTCTATCTCTTCTTGGTCTATCCTGCTGTATTAAATCACCAAATACCAAAGTGTCAAAGTGATTTTGAGAAAGAAGAACACAGTTAGAGACTATGGTTGCCGATTTCAAATTGTAGTAGAAAGCTATAGTAATCAAAACAGAATGATTTGCTTCTGGCACGAAAACAGACACATCAATCAACAGAGCAGAACAACAAAGCCAGAAAGAAACGGACACCCATATATTGTCGGTTAGCTTATGAGAAAGGAGCCAAGAATATCCAGTGGGGAAAGGACAAGCTTTTCAAAAATGCACTGGGAAAACTGGATAGTTCTATGAAAAAACAAAACTGTGCCCCTGTCTTTTAGCATACACAGAAATTAACTAAAAAGGGGTTACAAAGTTGAACATAAGACTTTAAGCGATTACACCCCTAGAAGAAAACATTGAGGTAGTCTTGCCATCGGTCTTTGCAATGAGTTTTTCGGTTTCACACTAAAAGCAAAGGTAGCACCTGCAAAAACAAAGTGGGACCACATCAAACTCCAAAGAAAGGAACATCAACAAAATCAAATGGCAATTGACAGATTGACAGATTGACAGAAGATATTTCCAAATCATATATTTCAAAAGGGCTTAATATCCAAAAATGCATGAGACATACAACTCAAGGGCAAAAAACCCCAAATAATTCAAATTTTAAATGGAGCATAAGAACAGTAAGAGTTTCAATAAATCTGAAGATTAAACTGTAGGTGAGAGACAGAGCAAGGTTTTCCTTTTAGAGCAACAAAAGCCTGTACCTTCCTGACATTACTTTCTTCATCTCCACTCATTTGTTTGACAATTACAGTTCACAGTATACATTCTTCAGTCAATAGAAATCACCACACAGTGAGCTAGAATATGTACTAAGAACAGTAGCACTTGGGGAATAAAAAACAAAACTAATATTTGCATACTTACTAATGATGCATATCGAAAGGAAGGTAATTTCCAGAGTTGATCACTCCATTGTTATCTATATTTCATTTCAAAATTGAGCCACCTAGTAAGGAAAATGAGTTAAGAGATCTCACTAATATATAGATAGAAAATTGGTTTTAAATGGGAGCATTAATTGATTACAATTTTTATTTATTTTTTTAAATTTTTTTCTTTTTTTATTTTTTATTTTTATTTGTTGGAAATTTGGGGGTAATTTATTACTACTGTTGTAACTGTAGTCCTTCTGATTTTCTAGTGCATCAGGTTAATACTTTATTATCAATATTAATAGCAGCATAGGGACACATACTACTAAAGTTATAGTGAATAGAGAAAGACATAGAATATAGTAGGCAAGAAGTGAAAGTATGGGAAGTCAGAAAAGGTAGTAAAGGGCAGTATTGCCTTGAGAGGAAGCAAGGTTCTCAAAGTTCCTTTAAACACCAAGAACGAGCCAGGTGTGAGGAATTAGCTTAATTTGTAAACCAGAAACTCTACCAGAAGAAATTTAAGTTCATAAAAATATTACCATGCCAAAACCCACAATTTAGACAGAGTATAGGGTAGGGTAGGGTATATAGACATTCAAAATTCTCCATTGCTTAGTGCATCAGGCACTCAAGGAACACCCTCACTGAAGTCTTTCTCTATTGCTCAACCTACAGGTACCACCATGCATAAAGAGATAGGGCAATTGAACCCTACTTTTATGGCCTCGTGGTTTTCCTTAAGAAGCATTCGATGCAGCAGATTTCCTCCATCTCATCCCATCTGGCTGTTTCCCCATGGTCAACAGGAGTCCTCACCCTGGGATCATTCCGCAGTCCCCATGGCTCCAGCTCCCAGCTTCCGTGGACACCAGTGGACTTACAACCCTGTCCGAGGTATGAAAGGCAGCAGCATGGCTTGTCTATGTGGTTCTCACTCCGTTCAGACGGGCAAAGGTTAGTTAGTTCACTCCCCAATAGCTTCAAATGACTCCCCCATTCCAGTGGACGGCCATGGACGCGAGGATCTCTCCCCTGCGCTTTAGCTCCCTCAGCCCCACGTGCTTTCCTCCTTCTTTCCCCTTTGTCCTTGTCCCTTCTTTCCTTTGTCCTACCGAGTTATGTATGGATCCGGATATTCCTTCTCAGTAGTCAGGGCGTCCTGCCACTATTCACCTGGTCTTCTGTGAGAACTGCTGTGTCTTTAGACGTCCTTGATGCATCAGTGGCGAGAGGTGTATCGCTCTCCCACCTACCCCTCCGCCATCTTGTCTACCTCCATTTGTGGATGTATTAGAAATGAGTTTCCCTTTCTATTAAGTAACATTGCCATCACCACACATGTTTAAGTTTTTCTTTTTGAAGAGAACACAGGTAAGTTCCACTCTCTTCAGTTGAGTCAGTCATTCAGTCGTGGCCAAATCTTTGTGACCCCATGGACTGCGGCACGCCAGCCTTCCCTGTGTATCCCCGACACCCAGAGCTTACTCAAACTCATGTCCGTTGAGGTGCTATGCCACTCGATGACGTCCACTCTCTCAGAGATTTTTTTTTTTTTTTTTTTAGATTCTTTACAGTTGAGATCGTATTGTATTTTTCTTTCTCTGGCTTAGTTTACTTACTGTAATGCCCTCTAGTTTCATCCATGTTGCCACAAATGGAAGCATTTCTTTCTTTTTCTAATGGCTAAATAATATTTACCTATATATGTCACATCACATTGTTTTAATTCATCCACCTGTTGAAAGATACTCAGGTTGTTCCTATACCAAGACTATTGTGAATAATGCTGCAGTGAACATAGAAATACAGATCTCTCATTGAGACAATGATTTCATTTCCTTTGACTATATATCCAGAAGTTGGATAATGAATCCCATAACAGTTCTCTTTTAAATTTCTTGAGGAACCTTCACAGTATTTTTCCATGGGAGTTGCACCAGTGCACATCCCTAACAACAGTGCATAAGCACTCTTTTTTCTCCACATCCTCAACAAGATTTGTCATTTCTTAAATTTTTGGTAATAGCCATTCAAACAGGTATGAGGTGATATTTCTTGTGGTTTTGATCTGCATTTCCTTTGATTATTAGTCATGCTGAGCATCTTGTCTTATACCTCTTGATCTTCTATATGCCTTATTTGTTGGAAAATCTCTATTCTTTTTTTTTCCCATTTATTTTTATTAGTTGGAGGCTAATTCCTTTACAATATTGTAGTGGTTTTTCCCATACATTGACATCACCTAATTTTGAATAACCATTTTATTCTTAGACACCATGCCCCTTTAAACTAACTAAGAGCAGAGAAAACCTAGTAAATGCTGATATCCTTAATTAAATTACCACTCTTCTGGTAAATTGGAAAAAGAATCATGTTCTTATCTCATTCAGGAGGATAAAATCTCTATTTTATCAGTTCTCTTGTCCATACTCAACTCTTGCTCACTTTAGTCTTAAATTCTGCTAACTTAAAAAGGACGGACAGGAAAAGTAATATTAAAATCACGCTTGCAAGAGTCTATGATTTTATGCTTCTATTGGCCAAAGGTAAGGCCAGGAATAATTTCTGAAATATTACAATACATCATGGAAGCTTGAAGGTCTAGTTCTACTATCAAAGAGGAGATGTTTGGAGATGGTTCGAAAACTAAGCCCCATGGATTGTCAGGATGTACTCCCGACCAGAGAGATAAGTTTTGTCCCTAAAGAGTCAAAGTCAGGAAAGGCAGGCCTTGTTCACAGAGTCAATGATGTTGTCTTGGGTGCTGACCAGGTAATATCTTGTTTTACCATTTGGAGATTTATTTGCTATTTTCTCAAAGAAACAACTGTAATGAGAAGATTAAAGATGCATAAAAGTAGAAGAGCTGTCAAGTTGCCTAGAAAAAAGGCTAACCAGGAGAACCAAGCCTTCACACTGATAATTATCAAGGATTTTAACTGGTGAGTGTTTTATAGACAGAGCAGAACAAGTGGATAAAATCAGTGGTCTAGGGTCACTGCTATTTTGCAGTCAAAGAGAAAATATTTTTCTCTTTAAGCAGAGTCATCACAGCTCCTGATGTTGTCCTGGTTACACACATGCAGACCGAGAGCCCACAGGCATGTGTGATATGATGACAGGAAGTAGACAGATGACTGCATTGGTTCCCAGTCACCAATTACTTTCCCTCTCCAAGGCATTGCGTCTTCATTAACATAACTTGATGAACACAGTGAAGATGAACGCTATCTCACAGGGTTACTGTGAAACACAACTTTTAAGATGTTTTAGAGCTTTTGGGAAAGTTTCAAAGACATACACGGGGTCACGAAGCTGAGTCAGCAGATCCAAGGCACAGTGTCCTTTTTCTCTTAGTCTTCTCTCTGTGCTCAAGAATAGCGATCAGTCAGTCATGTGTTTACTCTTACCCCAGCGTAATGGTAAACCACACAGATCAACCGTACACTTCTTGTCATTTTAGTGTCTAAAATTCAAGCACTAGTCCATGTAGAGTGAAAAAATTACAAACTCCTAGAGGGCCTTGCTGGTCAGAGTCTGCAGTGTCCCAATATTAAACTGTCTTGAAAGAATGGCCTAAATTCCATATATATGCATTAGTATACTGTATTGGTGTTTATCTTTCTGGCTTACTTCACTTTGTATAATGGGCACTTTAGAAAGATTGTAACAATAACCCTATATGCAAGACAGAAAAAGAGACACTGGTGTATAGAACAGACTTTTGGACTCTATGGGAGAAGGCCAGGGTGGGGTGATCTGAGAGAATAGCATTGAAACATATATATTATCAAGTGTGAAACAGATCACCAGTCCAGGTTGGATGCATGAGACAGGTGCTCAGGGCTGGTGCACTGGGGTGACCCAGAGGGATGGGATAGGGAGGAAGGTGGGAGGGGGGATCGGGATAGGGAACACATGTAAATCCATGGCTGATTCATGTCAATGTATGGCAAAACCCACTACAATATTGTAAAGTAATTAGCCTCCAACTAATAAAAATAAATGAAAAAAAAAAAAAAAGAATGGCCTAAACACTCTGGCTCAGAATTAAGTTCCAAATATTTGCAGAGCACAGAAGTACTTCCGGGAGCAATACAAAATGCAGGGAGTAACCTACTTCTCCAACTATCTATCTGCAAATATCATCATCCAAATTTACACAGAGGGCGCTCCTTCTTCCCTAGCCCAGCTACTACAGCACCAACTCTTGCTCAGAGCAACAGGGAAAGAGAAGGCTTCCCTCCACAGGATGGATTTGATAACCTCAGGTGACCTGATCAATTCAGAATGGCTCATATTTTTATTTTAGCAGGGTCCTGCCTGCTCCTGCTGCTGGTCATGTCAAATCTGCTCCTTTGCCGAGGCAACTTATGCCCATCCTGCGGTCCTAACGTGTTTGACATCCCTATAAATTCCCTTAGAGTCCTGTTTACCCGTGCCTTCCTGCTGTCCCACTACATCAACAGCCTTTCCGCTATGATGCTCCTTGAGTTTGTAAGTACTGTGGTGGTGGTGGTTTAGTTGCTAAGTCATGTCTGACTCTTATAACCCCATAGACTGTAGCCTGTCAGGCTCCCAGAAGGTACCTCTGCCTAAGTGACTGGGCCATACTGTCCTTTAAACAAGAAGGTTGCCTCAACCAAACTTCAGTTAACATACTCTGTAGGTCAAAGATGCCGTCAGCTCATAAGATGTGGAAATCGAAGAAAGGTTCAGTTTTGTGAAATCTCAAAGATTCCTTAGAAGTGCAATAACTTTTTCAATTTCCTTTCATTCATTTTCTTTTTTTAAATTTCCAAAATAAATGATTTTGTATTTGTCAGCTAGGAATGCCATAAAAGAATACAATAGACTCAGTGGAATAAACACCAAAAATTTATTTCCTCACAGTTCTGGAGGCTAGAAGTCCCAGATCAGGGCACCAGCAAGGCAAGGCTCTGCTGAGAACTCTTTCTTCCCAGGATGGCTTCTATGTGCGTCCTCACACAGGGTGGGGGGTGGGGAAGAGAGACAGAGGAAAGGACACACAGACACAGAGACAGAAGAGAAAAGTCTCTGGTGTTTCGCTTCTTGGAGACACTAATCCTACTGGATGAGTGGTGCACCCTGAGAGCTCATTTAACCTTAATGGGCTTTGCTGGTGGCTCAGATGGTAAAGAATCTGCCCGCAATGGGAGAGACCTGGGTTCTATCCCTGGGTCTGGAAGATTCCCTGGATAAGGGAACAGCAAGCCACTCCAGTATTCTTGCCTGAGAAATCCCATGGACAGAGGAGTTTGGTGGGCTATAGACCATGGCATGCCAAAAAGTTGGAACCCTTTTCACAACACAGTACTTTGGCAGTTCGGGCTCTAACACATGAATTTGAAGAACACATTCAGTCCATAATACTACCTGACAGAAAGCAGTTTTAGGTGGAATTGGGGAAAAGGAAGCACGTTGATTTTCTGATCTTTCAGGGTCTCTCTGGGCTTTTTCTCCAGGCTCAGAGTAAATAGCCAATAAATAAGAACTGCTCTGCAGTGAACTGGGTGGATGGAACATGTTAAACAAAGCTGAATCCTGGTCACAATAACGAATATTAGTAATTTTTTTAATGCTACAAATTATTGTTTTAAGATTTGCAGTGAATAGGTTTAGAGTTACAGTAGAAGGGGGGTTTACAATTGGAAACAATTATTCTCTTCCTGATGAAGGTATTTTAAAGTTGTATTTTAATTCTTTTAGGTCAATCAAGGAGCACACAGTAGAGCAGACAGCTAATAAAAGGCGCTGCTACAGGTTTCTATTAAATTCATGTAGTTCTTTGTGCTCACTAGTTTTTGTTTCATCCTCCATTTTTGACTTTCTATTTTTTTTTCCAACTCTTCCAAGTAATCTCTTCAAATGTTCATGACTTTCGCTAAAGATTAGTTTTTCTCTATCAATGTGTTAGCTAGATTTTTCTACTCTTATTATTCTCAGTCCATTGCTTAGTATTTCCTAAAACTTTATGCCTAAAACTTTATGTTTTTCTGACCTACCATTTTGTCACCATAAACAACATTGTATTCTGCACCTGGGGTGAACACCAAGCTTTTTGGTGAGCAGGTTCAGAGATAAGTCGAAGTCATTACTGTATAACTCCTTATAAGGGAATATATTGGCTCTAACCCACAGTAAACAAGAGATTAAATGGTTAAGTATAGGTGCATGCATGCATTTTAAGTCACTTCAATTGTGTCCACCTCTTCACAACTCTACTGACTGTAGCCCAACAGGTTCCTCTGTCCATAGGATTCGCCAGGCAAGAATATTGGAGTATGCTGCTGTACACTCTTGCAAAGGATGGTCCTCACCTAGCGATCAAACCTAAATCTTCTTATATCTCTTGCCTTGGCAGGAGTGTTCTTTACCACTACCGTCACCTGCTGCTGCTGCTGCTAAGTCACATCAGTCGTGTCCAATTCTGTGTGACCCCATAGAAGGCAGCCCCCCAGGCTCCCATCCCTGGGCTTATCCAGCATCACCTGGGCAGCAACAGATATTGGTACATATGTACTATATTTAGTTCAAATAATAAAATAAATAAAGATAATAATAAAACAGAGAAGGGAAAAGTTTGAACTTAGAAAAGCTAGATGTAAAATCATTTTTATAGAAACAGTGTATAGAAAAAGTAGGAAAAGAATGACTTTCAAATTTTGTGATGCCTCCCCATTAAAAAAATTACAAGTCTATCAAACATGTTAATGTTCTGGTAATGGTTTCATCTACTGAATGCCCAACAACCCTAAGCAGTTGCCTGATCACTTTCAGGATGGAAATTATTCCCAAAGTAATCCGGAGTTTATCAATGTCACTGATTACTGCCACACCAATCCCCTCCTTGCTCCTGAAGAAAGAGAAAAAGCACTACAGATGAACGTGAGTCTTTCACCTGGTTTTTGACCAGATCAAATGAGACAGTATGTAGCTTACCAGGCTTCAGATTATTAGAGGTAATGGTAACTGTACATGCAGAATACGGTGGAGGAAACATAAGCAATTGAAGAGAAATTATATTATGCAGTTGAAGAATGAATGAAATCAAGGGATGACTAAATATCTATAGTAGCAAAATAAAAAACAGATCTATAAATTGTCCATGCAGACAAGTTTAGTTCAAGCAATGCATTAGACACGGGATTGCAGCTGTTATACTGTACGAAAACAGGAAATGAATGGGAACTTCCATGTGTAAAACATAAGATTGCAAAATTCATGAACATGTAAGAAACACACCCCAGTCTTGAGTACTCCCTGTTACTAGTGACTCCTACATGGGAGTCCTATTCTGCACCACACGAGCCGGCGGGTCTGCCTCTCAAGGCTCTCCTGATTCTGCTTCTTCCTCTCTGACACCTCCTTCATTCGTCATTCTCAATGACTCCTCTGTCACCTTTAATTCTTAATTTGTAAGTCTCCCCCACAATGGCCTATAAAACATTGCTTTGCTTCTCATGGCCGCAAAAATTGCCTCCGTTCTGAGGACAACACAGTTTACATATCAAGCCTCAATCATTTCTGGCAGCTCCAAATTGTCACCGTTATAATCTCTCCTTTCTGATTTCCTGCATTATCCTTCGTACTAATATTATTTAAAATACTTTCACAGGCACCCCCCCTTAAAATACTATCTTCTCTCTCTACAGCTTTCTTAATGATACCAGCATTCTTTTTCTCTGTTAAGCTCATTAATAATGAGGATGATCAAGTAAAGGAAAAGTTCAAAGAGGAGGAGGAGGAGGGATTTTTCAAGAAGCTTGAATTTAAAGCTTATTGAGAGTTACTACGTGGCCATACATTTTACTAAGCACTTTATGTGCATTGCTATATTTAATCTTACTGAGTTCTGTCTTTTTTACCACTAAAACAGTTCATGATGTAAAGAAATCAAACATATTAACTAGAGATCTTCGGCCCCTGGGATTTTCATACTCAATTCCGCTAGTAGTAGTGAACTAGGTGGGAAAACCCTCCTTTGTGAATCCCACTGATGCTGTTACTAAAGACAACGCTGTGCCATTTTCTGCCCAGACACGTGTCAACAAGACAGACTCTTCTGATACCAGCATGGGGGCTGGTGTTGGGATCAACTGAGGAAAGAAAGCCTGTTTAGGAATGTCATGTCTTCTTCATTGTCTCTTTGTTGTAATATCATAAAACAAATTACCAATCAAAAATCAATACGAATGACTCATTTGATTCATTAATATGAAAGAATCACTGTGACAATGATGTCAGCACAGGTAGAATGCCTCTTTCCTGGGTCAGGTACTGCAGGCACATACTGACTTGCCATAAAATACTTAGATATCTCTCATGCAAATATGCAAACATAAAAGAACTCACTGAGTGGTAGTAGAATATCAGAGGAAAAAAGAAAAATTTTCATGTTATAAATTAGAACTCATCAGAAGAATTAGTTCCTAAAATAACCTAGATTTTTAATAATTCAGCTAAGTGTGAACTAATAGCTTACATTTTATAATTTTGCAACTTTTACAACCTTCAAAAATCTCTGCATACACATAAGAATAACCAAGACTATTTTAGGTCAGCTGCTCTGAGCAAAGATCACATGTTACCAAACCACTGAATTATGATTATTTTAATGAGACTGTTTCTTACATTTGCTTAGAATGAAGACCTTACTAAGTATATCCTCATGTTACTGTACTCCTGGGATAGTCCTCTGAATCATCTAGTCAAGGACCTGCGGCATATAAAAGAAGTCTCAAATACTACCCTATCAAGAGCCAGACAGACTGTGAAAAAAGTAAAAAGCCTTGAGCAACTCATAGAGAGGCAATTCAACCAGGTGAGCATCCTGCAGAGGGCTTCCTCGCTTTGTTGAAAGCGAATGTATGAAAGAGGTGACGGTAGTAATGTGTAAGGTATTTTGAAATAGCTCATTTTGTAAGAAAAAGATTCAGGACTTCTATATTCTAGACTGGTACTACGTAAAGCAGGAGCCTAGTTATTCATAGTGATAGATTCAACTGTAAAGGAATCAGAATTTCATTGCCATTTTTGGCATGTGCAGCCTTGCCTGCATTGCACACAATTCCACCAAAAGTTTGCCTCTTCCTGGGCACAGGTGGTTGAAATAATTTCAAGAGTAAGAGAACTAGAGAACAGAATTTCCAAGATCAGCCTTTTCTTCAAAGTATCCCAGGACAGCTACTCTTGAAGTTCCATGTGACTTCCTTCTCTGTTCTCCTCAAATCAAAGGATGAGAGTGGGAAGGAAGAAAAGAGAAAGTAAAAACTAAACTTGAGTTATGTTTCTACTTTTAGATTGCTTAGTGTTCTCATAGGCTGGCTCCAAAATCCATATTTAGAGAGTTTTATATTTGTATGTATTCCCCAAATCTTAATTTGATTATTATAAGGGGCAAAGATAAGCAAATACTAATAAAATGCATAAGAAGTAATTATCTTTTGGGTATTCAGGTTATTTATCCAGTCAGGAAGAAGATGTCGGATGCTCGCATTTACTGGACAGAACTTCCATCCCTGACGTCAAGATATGAAAATATACGTCATTATGCATTTTCTATCCTGTTCCAATGCCTGCACAGGGACACACTTAAAATTGACATTTACACCAAGATCCTGGCATGCCGAAGCTACAACATATGCTAAATCCACCCATCCCATCCAGCTCTGAGATGGTCCTAATGATCTATCCCATAGCAAGCTTCTTTGAAATTTACAGCTTTTTAATAAATGCTCTGTGAAATGGGTCTTCTCTTAAAAAAATAAACACAGACTCTGTAGAGATGTCAAAATATAAGAGGGCAATTTGTTAACATTTCTTATTTTCATTTAATCGAAAATCAAAAGAAAATCCACCCTTACAATTGAGAGAATGAAGCTCCTATTAAAATTAGTCACAAATAGCAGAAGCTGGCATTACAAAGACCATTAAGAGATTACATAAGAATCACAGAAAATTATTCTGGGTCAAGTTATTAGAATCAAAGTATTAGACAATTGTTCATGGTTCTGGTCGTGCTACCAAGAAGACTGAATCCTCAGGATCCTTTATGAAAGCCAGCCACGAACTGTCAGCCCACTGTCACAGTGTTACACCAGACAGGATCAGTGCTTCGCACCTTTGTACAAATAGCATGAGGTTTACTGAACTGTCTGAAGATTGTAAGGATGCTGTCTTAGTCCTTCTGGGTTGCTATAACAAAATCTCACAGACTTATAAACAGTGGAGATGGATTTCCACCTTGTGGTCACGCAGGGTCCTTTCTGGTCTCACACTCCTTATTGTATCCTCACACGGGGGATGGGCTCGGGAGCTCTGTGTGTCTCTTATATAAAAGCACTCATCTCATTGAGGAGGCTCCATCCTTATAACTCCATCACCTCACAAAGGCACCACCTATGGATGCTATAACCATGGGAATCAGGATTTCATCATATGAAACTTCTGGGGGACACAGAGGTTGAGACCGTAGCAGATACAAACGTGAACTGGCTCCATCCTCCTCCAGTGCTGTCTTCATGCACACTCCACTGCATCCTCATTTTCTGCATCACATTGCAGCCATTCCGTACGTTCTAATGACTGTGGGTTTCACAAGTTCAGGTCGGTCAAGTGTCAACTCCATCTCAGTTCAGTTCAGTTCAGTTCAGTTACTCAGTCATGTCTGACTCTTTGTGACGCCATGAATCATAGCACACCAGGCCTCCCTGTCCATCACCAACTCCCAGAGTTTACTCAAACTCATGTCGACTGAGGCGGTGACACCATCCAGCCATCTGATCCTCTGTTGTCCCCTTCTCTTCCTGCCCCCAATCCCTCCCAGCATCAGGGTCTTTTCCAATGAGTCAACTCTTCACATGAGGTGGCCAAAGTATTGGAGTTTCTGCTTCAGCATCAGTCCTTCCAATGAACACCCAGGACTGATATCCTTTATGATGGGCTGGTTGGATCTCCTTGCAGTCCAAGGGACTCTCAAGAGTCTTCTCCAACACCACAGTTCAAAAGCATCATCTCATATTCAGCCTATTCAATGTTTCCCTCTCCCCTGCTGAGGCCCAGGGGACCTACCAGGAAGCATCGATGTGTCCATTTCTGCAAGGTTCCTTCTCTCTCCCTCTCTGGATCTTCATTCCTTGGGCCATGTTGGAACAGGGTAGATGGTAATGAGATGGGAAAGTTCTGACATCACTGACTTACATGGTGCTCTTGTAGCCTTCTCTTGGTCCAGACGGACTGATCTGAAACTCCCCCTGAATGACACGTGTTTCTCTTGTGTGGGATCCTTGTGATTATCCCGGACATTCACAAGTTGGGGATCCCCAACGCCGTAGTGTCCTTTTTAATCAGGGAAAATGTTCTGGTATGCACAGCTCACCACCTGCAGTCGTCAGCACAGCCTCTCTGTTTCCTTCACTCTGCAAGCACCATCTGGAGAACATTAAGTAGCTCACCGTCAGCTACCTACTAGCTGACCCACACGAAACCCATGTATCGTAAACACTCTGAACAATTGAATGGCAGAAATACTGGTGTGCATCTATCCCTGCCTGGGGCTTCAGGACAAATGTCCAACTGGTCACATAGACACAGAGTAGATCAGAAAGCTGGATTTAAAGTACATTTATCTGAGTAGTGAGACCATTCTCTCTTCCTTTTAGAGTAACTATCCTTGTCATTAATTATTTGGCCTTACACACAAGCCCTAATAGGTCCCAGAATTATAAAATCCTCCAAATAGACTGAGTCTCTACTGAGACTGGAGCAGTGTGACTAGATTAGGGTTGCTCAGCTTGTTCAACAGCCTCCAGACAACCGGGGATGAGGGCCAATCTCTTGACTGGCTCTCCTAAGAAGTCAGTGATGTTGCTGGGCTGGTTGTGCAGCATCTTTAGGGCTTTACCAGTAATTCCTAGTAAACAAAAAAATGGGAAATCAAAAGATAGAAGGGAGAAGGGAATGAATAAGAGTGAAGGAAGAGAAAGACAGAAGGAAGGAAAAGCAGCAAAGGGAAAGTGAGTCAAGGACTTGAGTAGTCAAGGCTGAAATGCTGTTAGAACACTTTATTTTTAAGGAACTAAATATATATGCTTTTTAAAAAAATATCCTAAGAGCAAATATCTCATATTCCATTTTGTTTCCATTTTCTCCCCTCTCTTCTTTTTTCTGAAATTGTCCTTTATATTAGTATTCCTTTGTTTGTACTAACGGCCATAGTTCTAGAGATGAACAAAACTTGGCAACTCTTCAGGGCAGAATCCAGCCAAATTATCTTCTTTTAGGCAAAGACACCTTTCACCCACATACAAGACACTGTTCAGCAAAACCAACCTCTTCCCTCATAGCCAGGGTTATTCTTGCCTGAGTCTTGCCCCTGCCTTTACCTGGGAGGACCCAAACCTTTTAGAACATGACGGAATACTCTGCCCCAAAGCAATCAATCAAACCCTCCTTTGGCTCCTTCATGCATGTAAAGTGTCAGCTTTCTTATATTTTCACTTTCTTCTTACAAAAGGTAAAAGACCATGAAAAAACCCTGTAAGCACTTTCTAAGTCATTTACTGCTCCAAACATCTAATTCTATTGTGTTACTTACTTAACTTTCTCTCCTTCAATGTCTAGATATTTCCAGCAGAGAGGATGGTATTTATTATGGGGAAAATTTTCAATAAGTGGTATAATGCAATTGGAAAAAAAACATACACTCACCAATAGACCACACATATCTTCATGTATTTGTCTCATAAAATTTATTTCAAACATGAATTTAGGACTTTACATCAAGAACAGAGGTGGTGACATTGAGAATGCTCTCCTTGCTTGACAGTGACATATAATGTGAATACTGTAGATTTTAACAATATTGAACAGAGCCATAGATATTCTAAAGAGTCAGTCAGGAATAGACAAGGAGGGGATATTTGGACAGGATTTAACAATCACTTCCTTGCCATCCAGAAAGCATCGATTTTCCCCTGTTTTATAGATTTCCATGTAAGATTACATTTGAAGAAATGGCCCTGCTATATCAAAAATAGTAGCAGTGGTTACCAAAGGGAAACAAACAAATGAAGAATCTTTGAAGTTCACTGACCTTATAGATTAGTAAGTCACATATCATGGACACAGTGAGGACTTAAACTGAAGTTTGAAAAAGTCTCTATTTTCCAGAAGCAGGCCCTCAACTTGTGGAGAAGGAGATGGTGATATACACACAAATTACTATATTGCAAGGGTAGAGTGAAGAAGAATAAGATGTGATGCTAGCACGGTGCTACAGTAGATTGAAATAAAGCTATGAACCATCAGAGTGTGTCATAGGAGTGATGCAAATGGGATGGGTTTATGATGGAGTTTTGAAAGATTGATGGGATATTGATGTAGAAAAATAGGAAAACCGTATATCTGTCAATTCATTTAGGATCATCTATGAAGTAAGGATCTCCGACATCCTAGATCAAGGCAACTGACGTATTAATCCATATAGCCTTATAAGGTATCAGTGAATAATCAAGTCTGACAAAAACACAAGAAATGTTCATTTTTTACCATTCATGTTGTATCTTTCATGATTATGCTCCCATGGTATACTGTATATATTATGGTAGGTTTAGAATGGAGAAATACTTGTATGGGTTTTTATGCATTAGGGAGAATCATATAGGTCAATTTGGAGAGTTTGTCTTTATTCTACAAAGCAACAGGAAACCTAGAACATTAGGTCCAAGAGAGCAGAATGTCCAGAATTAGAAAAGAAAAACTTTAATGTGAAGTGAGGAGTTGTGGCTGTTGAGGTGGGTAGAGAAAAAGAAAGAGACCAGAAAGTGCTGTGAATATTATGACACTAAAGGCCAAAGAGGGCTCTGCCAAGTGAAAAGAAGCAAAGGATGTGAGAGATACAGGAAATGAAATAGACCTTGACCACATGCAAGGATTGAGGCAGACATAGGAGTCAGAAAAGGCATCCAACAATATGGGACTAGTTGAGTCAATACATGAAAAGTCAGAGAGAAGGGAGGAGATAAATTAAGGTTTTATTCAAAAGCATCTGAGCTCTATATTCCTGTTATTTCATCAACTTAGTACCAGAAATCACCAAAAAACATTAAGGTTGTGCAGCAATTGATAGAAATAAGGACTCTACGGAGCCTCTGCTAGACCCTCTGGAATACCAGAAGCAAAGCACGACTACCCAGTGATAACAAGCAGTAAGTCTCTAGTCACTTTCAACACTAAAATAAGACATACATTGTAAAGCATAGAGGATGGATGGAAATAAAATGGAAACAACCCATACCTTTATAGAGCCAGCCTAAACAAAACCTAAAACCTAACCAAAATAGAGGTAATGGTCTCCTTAATCATGTGTCCAGTTTCTCCAAGAGCTTCTCATTCCTTTTGCCTGAATTCTCCCTTGTTTACTAACCCTTCATTGCCTTACTCTCAGCAGATGATCAGCTAATCACTAATCAAATAAATAAACAGTATTCACTCCTCAGATATATTTGTATTGATGGACACGTCAAACTGAACAGCTTTCTAACCCCCTGAAAGTAAAACTCTAATACCAAAAGGACTCTTTTCCAGCATCTTTCCAAAATGCCCAGTGGGCAGCTGTTGCGACTCCAGCTACTTAGACATCTTCTGCTATAATTATAACCTATGTGGACAGTGAAGACAGGAGACGGATGAGGAAATGAAAGACTCTGAGAAAGACAAGCATGGACAAGTGGAAAAGATAGCATAAGCCTTAAGCACAGATCTCTGTCTGCACCCCATATCGTGTATGATGGGAGCCAGGTGAGCCTAATTAGGGGTGAATTTTTCAAGAAAGCTTTATATGAATTGGCACTGAGAAGTTTTATTCAGCTCAACTGTTTCAACGTGATTCTTTATTCTAAGTCTCAGAGCCATTTGTCTCATTTAACTGCACTAAGGCATAAAGGGAATATATTTATTGCCTATTTGAACACTACTAAGAAAACTTAGGAGAAGGAAATGGCAACCTACTCCAGTATTCTTGCCTGGAGAATCTCAGGGACAGAGTAGCCTGATGGGCTGCTGTCTATGGGGTCGCACAGAGTCGGACACGACTGAAGTGACTTAGCAGCAGCAGCAGCAGCAAGAAATCTTAAAACTTCTCATCACAAGAAGAAAATTGTAACTTTCTAGCAATGGATGTTCACCAGACTTACTGCAGTGATCATTTTGCAATATATAGCAAAATTTAATTACATTGTATACCTGAAACCAAAATAACATTATATGTCAGTATTATCTATGTATAATGATATCTGAAACTAAAATAGCTTTATTTGTCAATGTGACCTATGTATAATGATCATATAATCATTATGTTATATACATAACACATATGCATACCTTCAGTTAAGTTCAGTCACTCGGTCATATCTGACTTTTTGAGACCCTATGGACTGCAGCACATCAGGCTTTCCTGTCCTCCACCATCTATCTCATGGAGCTTGCTCAAACTCATGTCCATCGCATTGGTGATGCCATCCAACCATCTCATCCTCTCTCATCTCCTTCTCCTCCTGCCATTCATCTTTCCAAGCATCAAGGTCTTTTCAAATGAGTCAGTTCTTTGCATCAGGTGGAAAAATTATTGGAGCCTCAGCTTCAGTATCAGTCCTTTCAATGAATATTCAGGGCTGATTTTGTTTAGTATTGACCAGTTTGATCTCCTTGCAGTCCAGGGGAATCTCAAAAGTCTTCTTCAACACCACAGTTCAAAAGCATCAATTCCTCAGTGCTCAGTTCCCTTATGGTCCAGCTCTCACATCCATACTGACTACTGGAAAAGCTATAGCTTTGACTAGATTTATAAATTTTATTTATAAATGTTTATGCTTATGTTTATGCTGATAAAAAACAGAAACGTGTCTTAACCTTGTGACAACTGCAGAACAGCTTATTTACAATAGCTAATTGAAATCACAAAATTTTGAAGCCTATAGGCCTGCCCAGTACTCTGCTATTGGTCATTTAACCAATTGATCATTGACTTAATTCCTTAAGAATTCTTACAGGTGCTTAGTTTACATCAGTAAACAAAGCAGGCAGACACTTATCCTCATGGAACTTACATTTTAGCTGGGGGAAGACAGATATTCTTCAATAAACATGAATCCAAGTACATGAAATGGTATGTTAACAGGTGATCTGTACTATGGGAAAAGAAATAGTAAAGCAGAGGATGGGCTTTAGGGAATAAAGGTGAAGAAACGGAGGTGATTTAAAGAAAAACAACTTAGACCACACTGAGGGGAGCAAACATGCTTTCTTGCATACATGATTCAAGTTTTCCCCTGTCCAGTGAGATCTCTTGGTCTTCTATCCAACCTCAAAAATGTTTCCATCTCTGAGGCCCTATGCAAACTCATATAACATGGATATTCTGAACATTCTGCCTCTCTTCAGGTAAACTGGCTTCATAAATGATTTTTTTAAACTGCCCCAAATTAAGTAACCTTTCATGCAGCAAATTTTGATAACTTTCTGTTTCCTAAAGATCTAATCTATGAATTATTTTCCATATTATGACACACTGTCAGTGACCTAATTATATTATGTAAAAATATTATATAAGCATCGCTGTTCTAATATAATATGACATTTAAAAATATACACAAAATATAGACTAAATAACAGAGAGATAAAAATGAATAGAAATGAAAATGCTAACATTTAATTCCCCAAGGGATGTGGACACTCAATTTTATGACCACTGGACTAATGGATTCTGAATGTACACACATAATTATACCAGTTATTTAACTATCATAATAAAGTAATTTCTTTTACACATAGCTACAATCAAAGTTATCAGACCACAAGGGGCCAAGAATAAAATTATATGTGAATAACTCTCTTCATATGCATATATAAAATTTTGTGAGCTCAGTTAAGTAATCATCTTTAGTTCTTTTGTTATTCCATCAATTCATCTACTGGTAAATAATCCAAACTCTACAATAGATTTTTTTGTCAAGGGTTTAAACCTCAAGTCTTAATAAAAGCAGGGCAATGGCCTAGAAGAATAAATAAAATGTCATATGGATATCATTATATATATGCACTTGTAAAGAAAATTAATGAAATAATACCAAAGACTTTCAGTTTGCTGAAACAGAAAGTGTTATCGTTAAGAGCTGAATATACACATTACCTAGAAAATATACTTTCTCATCTTCCCATGACTTCTAAAGAAAAGGAGTGCATGACTTTCATTTCCAGCGAACTGTGGACTCCTTTCCACTTTCCTCCTCAACTTCCCTCCATGAAATCTCTTCCCTAGGTTGTAAAACACACCCTGGGCTTCTGGTTCAGGCAAGATGGCATTGATTTTGTGCCCACTTCTCTGTTTATTCTGGAAGTAAGAAGAGACCACTAAATGTGACCTTTTATAGTTGGCAAGAAGAAGGGGAACTAGTTTAGGGCCTGAAGAATGGAAGAGAAACACTGCAGCACCTAACAGAAGACAACCCAGGCCCAGCATTCCTGACCTCCAACCACAGGCCCAGCATTCCTGACCTCCAACCACAGGCCCAGCATTCCTGACCTCCAACCCAGGCCCAGCATTCCTGACCTCCAACCTGGCATCAGAAGGCAGCCTGAGAAGGGCTGTTCCTCCCAAGGAGTGAATGTGAAGGAACGCCAGGTGGTGGTTTAGTTGCTAAGTTGTCTCTGATTCATTGTGACCCCATGGACTGTAGCCCACCAGGTTCCTCTGTCCATGGAATTCTCCAGGCAAGAATATGGATTCCCACATCCTCCTCCAGGGGATCTTCCCAACCCAGGGATTGAAGCCAGGTCTTCACAAGGAAAGTGGATTCCTTACTGTCTGAGCCACCAGGAAAGCCCAAGAAACTCAATAATGGCATGGATATTTGGAAATTAAAAGGATAAAAACATATGTGAATATTAGATAAAGTAGACTTTAGAGCAAAGACAATTTCAAAAGACAAAGGAATACAAGGACATTACCTAAGGAAGAAACAGTCAGTCCAGCAGGAATACATAATAATCCTAAATATGTATACACCAAAAACATAATCTCAAAATACCTGAAGCAAAAATAGATAATCATCTGAATACTCCTATAATGTTTAATGAGATTGAAACTGTGACATAAACTTTTGAAAAAGAAATCATCAATCCAAGATAGTTTGACCAGAGAATTCTAACAAATATTTTAAAAATTCAGAATAATTTGACATACCTCTTCAAGAAAATGAAAGAGTAGGAAACCATTCCTAACTAATTAGATGGGGCAAGTATTGCTCTATATCAAAATCAGGCAAAGGCAGTACAAAAAGGAAATTTCAGACTAATTTCTCTCACAAATTTGAAATTAAAAGTTTTCACTCTCACATATACAAATCAACCAAATGAATTTAACAATGTATAAAAACATCTCTTGATAGTTTCTGCTCCTTTTCTAAGTCTGGTCACATTACCTGTCTCTTCAAAGGGTTTAGGTGAATCAAGTATACAGACAGTTAGGGTCCTAGTAATAAAGTATCATACCAGAAATACAGTGACAAATACTTGAGTCTAGGGCAAATCAGAAACTGACTTCTCCCATTAAAGTTAATCCTACCCAGTCATCCTAAATGTCTAGCAAAAAAACCTACAACTAATTCATAAGACAAAGAAAACATATCAACTACATAGAAATGGTGGTTCTGTTTGATGTTCTTTGTTTGCCCCTCAGGGACGCAGTTGATCATTTTCTCTTATGTTATGAAACTTTGGAGGCTGAGAAGACCAGACTTTATTCCCCTATCTCTCCTGGCCTCTGACTTCTATTTGAGTTTGGTCAGTGGTGGACAAAGAGATTGGTGAATCAGTGGAGAAAGAGATTAATAGATTGATTCTTTCCTCTGACTCCTTTCTTGCTGGGAAGTGGCCAAGTATCTCCCCTGAAGCCCAGAGCTCTGGTCAGAAGCCCTACTTTTAGCTGCAGCTATGTACAAGACTCTTTAGAGACTGCAATATCCATTCTCATCTTTGCCCTGTTGGCCTAAAAGTGTTCTTGTATCCCTGTTCTTGCCTGTCTCAAAAAGTTTGCTATTCCTTTTAAGCTATCCTTAGCTCTGATACAACTTCTAAATCCTTAAAGTTAATTGTGTGTTAGATGCTCAGGCATGTCTGACTTTTTGTAATCCCCATGGACTATAGCCTACCAGGTGTCTCTGTCCAAAGGACTCTTCAGACAAGAATAGTGGAGTGGGTAACCAATCCCCTCTGGGTGGGTCTTCCCTGACCCAAGGGTGCAACCCAGGTCTCCCACATTGCATGCAGATTCTCTACAATCTGACCCGCCAAGGAAGCCAGTTTTCTTTATTTTCCTTATCTGTGTAAATCATCTTGATTTCCAACAATGATAGGGGTGGCTATGGAGCTGCTAGATAAAGATGGTCCCTCAAAGATCTACAGTTAAACTGCTCACAACAGGAGGGGGACATCTTTTTTGCTGACTCCAAAATCATAAATACAAGAACATGTCACAGGTTGGGTAAAAATAAAAGCTGAGAAATCAATGATTTAAGAATGAATTTGGTAAAAGTGCACAAACTTTAAGCTGTAAGATGATGAATAAGATCCGAGGATCTAATGTGTAACATGGTGACTATGGTTTGTAATGTGTTATTGACATTTGTGGGGTTTCCGAGGTGGTGTTAGTGGTAAAGGACCCTCTTGCCCGAGTAGGATGCATAAGTGAGATGGGGTGAATCCCTGGGTCAGGAAGATCCCCTGGAGGAGGGCATGGTGGCCCAGTCTAGTAATCTTTCCTGGAGAATCCCCATGGACAGAGGACCCTGGCAGGCTATAAAGTCCATGGTGTCACAAAGAGTTGGACATGACTGAAGTCACTTAGCACACATGTAAGAGAGGAAAACGTAAAAGTTCTCACCAAAAAGATCTTTAAAAGGTAAATATGTGAGGTGATATTAATAGATATGTCAATTAAATCAATGAGGGAATCCATTAATCATGTATACCTATTTAAATTGTCATGTATACTTTAAATATCTTGCCATTTTATCTCAAAATTATGTTTTAAAAATCTGAAAAAAGAAAAAACCAAGAATTTCAATGCATTTTATTTAATATTGTAGATATTTCAACCAAAAATTTTGGTATGTAAAAGGGTGTTTTTTATTCCAGAAAATAACTAGTGGGGTTCATTGGTTATTCAGAAAAGAAAGAAACCTTGACAATTCTCTAGACAAGCCTCCCATATTAAAGATATATAAATAAACCAAAAATAATTATGTCACTTATCTAAACTTATAGAACTCGATTCAAAAGTAGTAATAGACACCAGGTTTCCTAGGTTTAGGGGAATCTTTACCAAATTACCCGGCGAATGGAAATATGTCCTATGCTCTGCAAAACTTGATTCTTATCTCTTTCACAGAACTGATCATATTCCACTTTGAATTCATTGTCCAGTTAGCATAAGTTTTACCAAGTGAATTAAGTTCCTTGAAGGGTCAGTCCTGGCATGTCTGTTCTTCTCACTCTATATTCTCACTTATGGCCAAAGCTCTTTATCAATGCCATCTCTTCTCCCTGGAACACCCTCGCTCTTTCACCTCATGACTTCTCTGACATCTTTCAGATCTCAGCAAAAACAACTTCCACAAAGCAGCCTTTTGTGATTCTGACACAGCTCAGGTCTCCTTGTTATGTGGACATATGGCATTCTGTGCTTTTCCCTCTCGACATGTGTCCCAATTATGGTGCAACGTTTAACTTTGAAATTTACCTCATTTCTGTTTTTCTATTAAAACTTAAGTCCTGATTTACAAAATCCACATATGTGCTCTTCACTACTGTCCATTCTTTGCATCCAACAGGACTTTGTTAGGTGTTTGTTCAATGAAACACTTTTATTCGTGCAGAATAAAATTTCAATGAATTTTTGATGCTGCCCTCACAGCATGCAGTGAACTAAAATCATTGAGGTCTTTTCTTCCCACCCAAACCCTCATACCCTGATTATTTGGACATAATTACAGAACTAGAACTGTGGAGGCTTCCCTTGTGACTCAGCTGGCAAAAAGCTGCCTGCAATGTGGGAGGCCTGGGTTTGATCCCTGGGTTGGGAAGATTCCCTGGAGAAGGGAAAGGCTACCCACTCCAGTATTCTGGCCTGGAGAATTCTATGAACTATATAGTCCATGGGTCACAAGTCGGACACAACTGAGTGATTTTCTTTCTAAGAACTGTGGATGCATTTGCTTTTAATTGTTGCCCTACTAGATGGAAGCACTGGATGTTTGGTCTTTTATTCCATATACACTAGCCCTCACAGTTTCCTGTCCTAAGATAATGTGATAATCGAGTCACTGACTAAAAGGCTGAATAGGACAGAACTAGAGACAGTGCTCTGAACCTGCCACTTGAGTCTACTTTTTACCATAGGATTCTTAAATTCACTAGAGGAGTTCAGTTTCTTAGCTGTACTCTCTGATCATGACAGATAAAAATACTTTAAGGAGAGCCTACAAATCAAATACTCTTACATTGTACACAAACACCTAATCTCTCTTCGAAGGTTCAAGAGAAATTCACCTTCTTGATGAATTGTTACCTACTTTTCCTAGATGAAAGTACCATCTTCCTCCTTATGTCTTCCTAATTTCATTCTCACCATTTTAATTTCCCTGACCACATTCCGACTTATATTATAGTTAATTATCTGAAGAACACCAATCCCCACTCCTTTAATTCAGTTCCCCTGGGGCTACAAGGTTATGCTAACTGCCCTTAAGTTACAATTCATTGAGTATCAAACATGGCAGAAACTGGACAGCCATTTGTTCTTTCTGAGGTAAATATTATAATTCAATGCAAATACCCAGCCTCTGGTATTTTGGATAAACTGACAACTGGACAAAATTTTAACTGCTATTCCAGATAAAAGTTCCCTTTGTGTTAATGTCTTTCTTTTAGAGACAACTTGCATTCTAGACAGCGTTCAGGTAAATCGACACGGGACTTATATGTTAGCTAGAAATAAACCCACTGTTGTAGTAAACAAAAGTAGACAAATCACTCATTTTATGTATACTTCAAGACCCATTTTATTAGGAGCTGGTGGGTCAGACAGTAAAGAGTCGGCCTACAGTACAGGAGACCTGGGCTCCATCCATGGTCAGGAAGATCGCTGGAGGAGGGCATGTCAACCACTCCAGTATTCTTGCCGGGAGGATCCCCATGGACAGAGGAGCCTGGCGGGCTGCTGTCCAAGGGGTCGTCATTCCATGGGGTTGTAAAGTGTTGGACACGATGGAGTAACTACACACAGCAAAGTTCTCAAGGTGACATACTGACATTTAGAAACAGTTTCTGTCAATGGTATGCTTAACTACAATTCCTGCTTTTCAATAGAAGATCTAAGATAAAAGTAATATTCTGTTACAATCAAGCAATTATTTCTATCAAGGATTTTTTCTTAAAGTTAAGCTAGAGAAATACATTGTGAGATAGAGCAGATAATGAGAAGTATAAGAGATCCAAACAGGGAAGCTGCTCAACCAATCGATAATTTTCTTTTTGGAAAAAAGAACAAACCTCAGTTTGGAATCATGTTTTATACAGAGATTTGCATAATCTTTGTAAATGTAAAGGCTTTTCTACTTTAATTTTCCTTTCCCAGTTGAG